TTGCAAATTGTTCTCGTACGCAATCAACACAAAAATATATATATAATATATATATATATAATAATATATATATAGATGTAAAGATATGAACATGAAAATAAAATGAGGTGTTAATCTTTAATTTTGCAAGCTTTCGAGAACAAAAAAACATTCTTTATCTATATTTGCATGGGTGTCCGTGTGTTTTGATTCTATTCTTTACTATTACTCTCTCTTCCTCTATGCATATTTATTATTTAGCAATACGACTCACCAGACTGTCTTCCTGGCTTGTCCACACCACCCTCTCCTTCGTCATTTTGTTCAGGGCTGCCTGATCTTTGTCGTCATAGTAAGGTCGCTTTGGCTTCTTCTCTCTCAACTTCATAGGCCTTACTCTCGGTTCACTGTGTTGTAAGACTTTTTTTGCATGTAAACCTAAAGGATTGCAAACCTTAATAGGCACATTCTCACTCAATCAATCTGCAGGTTTCAGCATGAGATATAATGTCAAGCATGTTTAAGTTTGAGCGGTTTGATAACTATTCAAATAGGGAATCTGAGTGATCTAAAAATTATGAAATTTCCACATAATATGAAATACAAGTTATTAAACTTTCACCTACTTCTTATATGCATGCACACACACTTGACATAGTGTAAAAGAAGAAATTCCCACACAGAGGTTGCAATACGGGTTATGCATAATGTATCACGCACAACAAAACCTCATTACCAGATTGTGAAAATTTCCTCTTCAGCCCCTTGCCTCCCTTGTTCTTGACCACATTTTCCTTGAGTGTGACAGTCACTACCTCTGGTGGCTCTACAGGTTAACATAAAACAATCTTGATATTAGGTGATGTGTGTGAGAACATAATACATTGATCTTTTACTAGCATGTCTTTTAAATGCCTAGGTCTGTAGGTCCAGCAGAATATATATGGCATATCGATGATGCATGACCAATAGGAAGTATCACCACACATTTCCTCCACAACATCAGAGACTCTCGTACCACACACACCCAGTCACTTTGCTCCTTTTTCTCTCCCTCCCCCTTGCTTCTTTCTATCACTTGTGCGCGCTCGCTCTCTCTCTCTCTCTCTCTCTCTCTCTCTCTCTCTCTCTCTCTCTCTCTCTNGTAGCAGCTGGAGAGAGACGGAGAGACAAGGCAGACTGTTGATAATAGCAGATGCTCGTCATTGCAAATTGTTCTCGTACGCAATCAACACAAAATTATATACATAATATATATATATAATAATATATATATAGATGTAAAGATATGAACATGAAAATAAAATGAGGTGTTAATCTTTAATTTTGCAAGCTTTCGAGAACAAAAAAACATTCTTTATCTATATCTGCATGGGTGTCCGTGTGTTTTGATTCTATTCTTTACTATTACTCTCTCTTCCTCTATGCATATTTATTATTTAGCAATACGACTCACCAGACTGTCTTCCTGGCTTGTCCACACCACCCTCTCCTTCGTCATTTTGTTCAGGGCTGCCTGATCTTTGTCGTCATAGTAAGGTCGCTTTGGCTTCTTCTCTCTCAACTTCATAGGCCTTACTCTCGGTTCACTGTGTTGTAAGACTTTTTTTGCATGTAAACCTAAAGGATTGCAAACCTTAATAGGCACATTCTCACTCAATGAATCTGCAGGTTTCAGCATGAGATATAATGTCAAGCATGTTTAAGTTTGAGCGGTTTGATAACTATTCAAATAGGGAATCTGAGTGATCTAAAAATTATGAAATTTCCACATAATATGAAATACAAGTTATTAAACTTTCACCTACTTCTTATATGCATGCACACACACTTGACATAGTGTAAAAGAAGAAATTCCCACACAGAGGTTGCAATACGGGTTATGCATAATGTATCACGCACAACAAAACCTCATTACCAGATTGTGAAAATTTCCTCTTCAGCCCCTTGCCTCCCTTGTTCTTGACCACATTTTCCTTGAGTGTGACAGTCACTACCTCTGGTGGCTCTACAGGTTAACATAAAACAATCTTGATATTAGGTGATGTGTGTGAGAACATAATACATTGATCTTTTACTAGCATGTCTTTTAAATGCCTAGGTCTGTAGGTCCAGCAGAATATATATGGCATATCGATGATGCATGACCAATAGGAAGTATCACCACACATTTCCTCCACAACATCAGAGACTCTCGTACCACACACACCCAGTCACTTTGCTCCTTTTTCTCTCCCTCCCCCTTGCTTCTTTCTATCACTTGTGCGCGCTCGCTCTCTCTCTCTCTCTCTCTCTCTCTCTCTCTCTCTCTCTCTCTCTCTCTCT